TATATGTTATTATTTTGCTATTAACATTTATTTTTCAATTAATTTATATAATTTAGATCTTATTGTGTTTATATTCAAAGTAAAATTTATTAATTTTTATAAAATTATTTTTATATTACAATTTAGATTTAACAAATAAATTTAAATTATTTACCACCCCAAAATATGGCAGTAAAAATTTTTTATTTCAACCACAATATGGGATCTCTGCAAATAGAAATTATCAATATCTTCCCATGCCAGAAAATTAACCTCCCTCACTAATCCTAAGTATTTATTACAATTTAGATTTAACAAATAAATTTAAATTATATTTAGTCAATTGAAAAATAAACATTTATCTCATATTACCATCCCAAAATATGCCAGTATAAAAATTTTATCTCAACAATATTTGAACTCTGGAAATGACATACAATTCAATTTATCAATATCTACCGTACATTTTTGATTACAATTTCATATATTTTACGCTAAATTTAATAAAATGAATAAATAATCACTAAAATTTGTCATTTATTCTATATAAAAAGGTGTATTTAAAAAAAATTCATATAATACTTCAAGATTTTATTATTCCCGTCATTCTTGACGGGTTATCAACTAGTATATTATATAATAATGTATTTATTACCTATTATCCTTTGCGTATTTATTCCATGGCAGGAAAACTATAATTATATGTAATAGATACTATGAGTGTTAGCTAGTTTTAACTTTCACCCAACATTATATTAATCATAACTATATATAATTATTATAACCATATCTAATTGATGAATATAATAATTCTTGTTGTATAAATTTTTAATATAATAATTCTTGTTGTATAAATTTTTTTTAAAAATTTTACGGCCCGGCCCGGGTATTTAAAAAATAAAATTTTTCAGGCCCGGCCCGGGTATTTTTTTAAAAATTTAAAATCCGGACTTAGGGCCGGGCCTGCAGGTCTCTGATATATAATATTTTGAAAATGTAATAAGAACTTTGGATTTCAGCATTTAAAACTTCTATACTCTCAAATATTTTTATCATCATTTTAAGAAATAAAAAGTTTTCAAAGGCTTTATTTGTTGCAATAAATTTTTTGATTGTAGCATAATTTCTAATAAAAGTTATGATTATTTCATATTTCATTCTCCTTTCTATTCATTTTAGGATATCATTCGCATTCACCAGATGGCATAATGGCCCTAAAGAAGTTGAACTATCATTTTCTTGCATGGCACGAAATATCTCCATGCATTTGGGAGAATCTCGAACATAAGATAATAAATCTTTTATTGGAAAATCACGATATTTTGCAATAGTATTAAATAAATCTTGTACCACAAATTTAATGTTTGACCTGCACAATATTATATCTGGAAACTAGAAATCTTTACACTAATTAGAGGCTCCATCATCATTAACCTCTGCATTTTTTGATGTCTAAAGAATATTTAAGTAATATATCTTTGATTAATTCCTTCATTTTTTTATGGGGGCACGCCTTTACTAAGTCTGTGTCTATGAAATACTCGAACATATTATTAAATTTATTTCAAATATTGTTTTTAATATAAAAAAACATAAAATAAAATTGTATCAAAATGTTTTTAAAAACCTATACAGATTATATATTTTTGCATCTAGAAACTTTTACAACTCTGGATATTATTAACTGTTAATCTAAAATACCTATACTTTTGACAGGGATGCGAACCCGACTAAATTTTTGCCCGGGTTCGGTTCGGTCCGGGTTCGGTCTAAGATATAAAAAAGAAGGGTTTTCGGTTCGGGTTCGGTTCAAAGAAATATTTTTGAACCCGGGTTTGGTTCCTGGGAATTTTATTTGAACCCGGTTCAACCAGGTTCAGTGTATTGTTTAAAATCATATATGATATTTGTATAATTTTAAATACAAATATTAATAATTGGGATTTTATAATATTTTCAGATTTCCAATTAATTGAGGTGTTAATAAATTTTAAATAACTTAATCCATTTATGCATTTTTAAATTTTTTTAAATATATTCTCAAGATTCCTATTGGAGTTTTAATAAATTTTGAACAATTAAATTCATTTACGCCATTTTTTAATTTTTAACTTATTCTCAAAGATTATTAATTATAGGAAAATGAAAGTGAACAAGTCAAAGTAAAAATTATTATATTGGATATTGTTAATTTAAGAAATACATTAATAAAATTTTTAAAATTGATACATGACTATGCTTTGTATTTTTAACTATATTTTGCCTATAAATAAAATAAAAAATTTATTTTTTATACCTAATTTATGTCTAGTTTTTTAATTATGATTTAAATATAATTTTTTTTTTATCAATTCAAATATTCTTAAACCCGTGCTGAACCCGCCGGTTCTGGGTTTTGAAAATTTTATAAATGAAGTTCAGGTTAGGTTCGGGTTCAGTTCGAATCCCTGCTTTTGACAGACAAAAGAAAAATCCGCTTTATTCAGAGATTTTTTTATTCAGTAAAATGAAAAGATACGTTTAAAAGAAATGTAATAAAATTTTCAAGTCTTGCCCCCCCCCACCACCTATAAAAAGTTATGCCTTTTTTAGATTTATATTTTGCTACTATATCAAATGACTTTATTAGCTTTATAAAATTGTAAAACAGCTGTTAATAAGGAATATTTTATTATAGTGCGCACAAATTGAACGTTTCAACGCAGCGTTTAAAAACGCAAATAATGCATTTTAAATGCATTCGTTTAAATTGGACAGCATTTTTTTTGTTTTAAATTTAGACGTTTCATATTTTAAAAAAAATTAAAATTAACGGTTCAATTTACGCATACGTTTTATTATTTGCGTTTCGAAACGCTGCGTTGAAAGTTCAATTTGTGCGCACTTAATCATAATTTTACGAAATTATTAACTTTTCAAATCGAGCGAGCTCTGTCTGTATAATATTTTTAATTTACGTTCAGATTAATTTAAAATAATTCAACCCGCCTGCACGCTTATATTTAACTCATCTGTTCACAAATAACATTCGGGATTTCAGAAAACATTTTTTCTAGGTGTGGAACGATTAAAATTTTATTTTATATCACATATAGACGTACCAATTGATAAAATCTCAAAACTATTTTGCAACCCATTTAATCAACAAAGACATGTTTATTTTATAGAAAATAAAAATGTTTTACCTTGGATGACTCAAAAATTACCATTCAGATCGAAATGCACAAATTTTAGATGGGTCAGCCCTTCAGCTGCTACCGGACGAGTATATGCTTTACATAAAGATGAAACAATTAAAACTATTCATCTTTTTAATTTATTTCCTTCTTTTTTCTTTTGTTTATTGAGTTTATTATTAAAAACAAATTTAAAACAAAGGTCATATAAAAAACAATTAACGATTATAAAAATATAGCTCATATATATATAAATTTTTAATAAGGCAACTTAATAAAATAAATTGAATTAAAAAAACAATTAAGTGTTTGGTTAAGTACATTTCTGGAACCATGACTAGCAATGCAATTACTTTGATGAATAGCCATTGTAATGGCATGTTTCTGCACTTATTTCACTTAATTTCCTCCATAATAATGTGATAAATTTAAGAGATTCCTCACCAAAAACACCAAAAGTTTTGATAACAAGTGGGATAAAAATTAGGTTAGCGATGTATGAATATTTATTTATCTTCAAGATTTCTGCCAAACTAATTTCTGAGGCATTTATTTTGGATCCTGCCGGAAAATCGATGCACGTGTAATCCCAAGAAACTGGTAGACCAGATGGCCAGTTTTTTTAAAATATATAATTATTAATATCCCTAACTATATTTTGTTTCAAATACATTTTAAATTATGAAATGAATGATTATCCGTATTTTTATATCATTAATAAAATTGAATAATAAAAAAATTAAACAAAAGCTATATTATTGAAAATTTGTTACATTAAGATGTTATTTTTCAAACGAAAATTCAATGGTAAAAAATGCTTATTCCGGAAGAGTCGATAGCGTCGTTGGGATTTTCATCGTATATATATATTAGAGACCTGCAGAGGTGCCATTTGCACGTCTCGGCCCGGATTTAAAAATTTTGGGCTGGCCTTGCCCGGGTTTTATATTTTCATACCCAGCCCAGCTTGCATTTTTTTAAAAAGTTTCCACCCGAATTTCTTTAAAAAAAGTTTCGGTCAGGGTATGTAAATTTTTTATTAAAATATACCTATTCGGCATTTTAAGCATCATTTTTTATTTTCAGCGATTATTAAATCCATGTATAATTACTTTTCAAATTATCTTATCTTCCCATTTGCCCTAAAAGGAGTGAGTTTGACCCACTTTCAATTATACTGGTCGATGCTAATTTCATTATTTCCCGTTCCTCTTATAATTAAATAGTCTTTTATGTATCAGTCATTTGCGTTCTCTTGAATTTAGGGCAGATAAAATGATACCTATCAATAAAATTTTCCAATAAAAATTATTATATTTTAAATATTGTAATTTGATTGAATATCACCTTAAATAATGATTAGTCAATAATTAATTTGAATAATATTTTACTATAAATTTTCTAAGGATCGTCAAAATGAAAATAGGAAATATAAGTGATATAAATATAACCGAATGTTTTAAATCGTATATCTATAAAAATTAAATATAATATACTGATCGATCTTAATACCTACAGCAATTTTTACAAATACGGGATCGGCCGAATCCTGATCGATTTGACATGGAATGGCTCTTTTAGTGTGTAAGAGGCTAATAGAAATAACCTCACTTTTACAAAATTTAGTCATTTTCCTTACGATTTTTCTATTCTACTACAAATTTAATGTTTCTTATTTTAATTTAGTCATTTTCCTTAGGTATAAATGTTATTTTTCTATTCTACTACGAATTTAATATTTCTTTATTATTTTAATTTAATTATTTTCTCTATACGAATTCTTCAGAGGTATTTTATTTTTTACTTTTACCTAAAAAATCTTCATCTCTCAATATTCCAATTTAGGTACATGAACCCAGAAAACTATGCCAATCCATCAATGCACAATATCGGAGAAGTAAATCCTGCCACTTATTTGGTCTCCTTCTTACCCCCAGAACATAGAAAATTTACTCCCCTATTTTGGGCGGTGGTTTGCGATTTACCCTGTGAATTAATAGCTTTTCTTGTAAAAGAATGTGCCGCCGAACCCGAACAAGAGTGCTTTTGGGATTGGGGAGCTGCATGTGGATGGGAAGGAGAAAAAGATAGGGACAAGATCAGTTTCAATGGTAAAAAGTAAAATACATATGGTCCATTAATTATTGTCAGTGTTGCACCCAGGATTTTCCACAAAATTTTTGAATTGAGGAAAAAATTTATATTAAGCAGATGGGGGCTGTGCTTTTATACTCCCTTTGTGGGCCTTCAGTCAGCTTTTGCCAGGCAATTGTGACTTAGGTCAAAATTATAAATAGCCAATAATAATCAATATATGTTATTTTGGAATATCTCAGAATTGATTTTATTTAACACCTTTGTAGTCCTGTTTCTCGAGATATCAGGTGTGTTAGCTAGCTAAAATATACGGTTTTCTTATTTTTTTACCGATTTAAATAATTCCAGCAATTTTTAACAATTTTAAAAGAGGTCGACCGAAACTTGATCGACTTGACATCGAATGGCCAATTTCTTCTAATGATTGTTATTTTCGCTTACAAGATGAATAATCCTTTAAATTATGTCAAATACTTTAAAATAATATAATTTTATTTTTTTTATCGATTTTGAGAATGAAGCTGGCAACGTTCTAACTGATTTTTTTTATAAAAATTGAAGGTAGTATTTTTTCCAAAAAATCGTTTCTAATTCTTATATATTAAATAAAATGGCTGAAAATTGGAATAATCAATTACACTGTGTGATAAATTTCGACTTGATTTGATGGGAGAAAATATACTAAACATGTTTTAAGACAGTTTTTTATGCATATTCTAAATCCGCTATCAGTTTTTTTAGCACGTCAGGTTTTTTTATTTATTTTAGGTTAAAATGGCCAAAAAGGTCATTTTTAGCACTTTTTGAAGGTTTATAACTTCGGTTCTAATGATCCCTACAACTAAAAAATAATCTTAATTTTTGCAGCAAACCTTCCTTATTATTTATTATTATACATTTTTTTTTATAAAATTCTTACTCAATTTTTAAACAACCTATATTTTTTAAATTTACCTTTATTTATAAAATCTTTTTTAATAGAGCTTACATTTAATATATTTATTTATTGTGGCTTTCGTTCTCTTCGCTACACTGCACACGGTACGATTCCCAAACAATTTATTTTAAATGAAATAGTTATATTTCTCATATTTAAATAAATATATTGTGCTAAGCTAACCTATCTCACATTTTATTTTCATCAGGATTGCGATCATTTGGAGATCGCATCATATCTTAAATTCGTAAATGGAATAATTTATTTTTGACAATAAATATTTTTTCATATGATTCATTTAACTGGTTGGAATAGGCGATGGGAATTGATGGCTTAGAATTTCCGTTATGAAACAAAACTGCTTTCAAGCTGTTTTTGCTTGAATCGATGAACAAGCGCCATTCATCGAGCACCAATTCAATATTAAGTTGTAAAAAAAGTTGACCTAGATTGTTGGAATAGTATAAAAAATTTCGTAAGAGAATAAATTTCTAAACGATGCTCCACGGAATCGGTATGAAGTTCGAACTCCATTTTTTAAAATTTTAAAATCATTAAGCCTTGAGGCTAAAAATTCAGACTTTCTTTTTGAAAGTTGTAAATATCTGGTTGTTATTTAGTTGCTCTTGTGACATAAATGACGAATCCTCTTCGGGATGATACTCAAGATCAATATTGTCATTGTCCTGGCAACGTAAATTTTCCAGCTGCGAACTATTAAAAAAAGGAACTGTTGTATGCATATTATATTTTACCGGATAAACAACCGACGAAATTTCAGCATAACGAATTTTCTTCCTATTTTTTTTGTTAAACCCAAATGTACTAATCGAGCAAAAATAACAATCCCACGAATGATTTCTTGCTACGTGCCAAAATGCAGGTTTCGAATAAGGCAAATATGACCGTTTTCCATTTACCCATGAATTAAAAGAATTATAACATGTTTTAAATATGTAATTAGGGGCAAATGGTTTATCCAAATCGCAGAGTGGAATATTGTAATAAATTTCATAAATCCTTTGAATGATTGGAGAAATTGGACATTTTTGTGCGGGCAATATATAGCCCGCACAGATGTAACAAAATTTAGAGACACACTTTAAACAAGGGGACCTCGGCATTAATTTTTTGTAGAATATTATATAAGGAGGAAATTTGAATAATATTTAAAATCCAATTTAAAAAAGAAATTAAATGTTTATGAAAAATTAAGCGCGAAAAAAAATAATTCTTCTCCTTTCTTCTTAGTTCCTACTCGTTATTTGGCATTATTATTTATTGCCCATATTACGGGTTCAAGGTACTCCATTGGAAAATCATATATTTTGATATAAATTGATTAAAAAAAACAAATATTCTTAATACATCTAAAAAAGATAAATATTAATAAAAAATATGAAAAAATTACCAATTATTGCATTTTAAATGAATTTTGCTTCAAAAATGCTCAATTCAAAAAGAGTACAAATTAAAAAAGTGGGTACAGATATCTGATTTTGATAAATTGATCATAAATGCATAAAATATTACTAAATACAACTAAAAAAGATAAATATTACCTTAATTTTGCTTTAAAAATGCTTTATGCAGAGAAAATTTAATAAAAGTGTACAAATTAAAAAGTTCGAAAATATCTATACCGACTTTTTTAATTTAAGATTTTGGTTGAATTTTCATGGCATAGAGTACTTTTGAAACATAATTAGAATTAATTAATATATAATCTTGAGCATATTTATAGCAAAATTATATAAAATTTATCTTTTAAAGTTAATTATTTTGATAGTAATTTAAATTGAAAACTTAAGACTCCCAAAACGAAATTCTTTACCATTTCTCAAAAACCAATCGATAAAAATTAGTAAATTTATAAAGAAATATAAGTTTAACACTATCACCAATTTTAAGGGATTTTTATTCGATACTTTTTAAAATATATCCATATAAAGACCCAAATTTTACCATTTTTGAGATTTCGAAAAGTTGTCTTTATACGGTAATATTTTTAAAACTTGACTTGTAGGGAAAATTTGGAAAACGGATTCGAACTCAGCGTCAAATTCTGCACCAAAACTTGTTTTTATTTTCTTCTCCCATTTTTCTTGTCACACAGTGTTATTAACTTTTATTTATTGAATTTATAATATTAAATATACATATGATTACGCATATATACAGGAAATAATTTTTATAAAAGGTTAAATATGTCAAAAGTAGTTAGCAGTTGCTTTTGAAACCTAACTAGTTACAATTATTAGCTGCATTCATAAAAAAAGGTAACTAGTAAATAATAAATTGCGAAATAGTGCAAAAAATACAGGAAACAACAATGATGTATGTTATTTTAAAACGCGATATATATATATATTAAAATTGCGTGGGGATGATTCGTTTTTAGCGTAATCATTGTTATGTGATTTTCGGTTTACATCTTTATTCCTGTTCTAAGTCGGCAGTGTGAATTGAGACTTGGTCTAAGTTCCATGTTGTCGATGGTTCCGAGAGACCCGAGATGAGTGATAGCGTCTCTACGGTTTCGTTACTAAATAGGGAGGCGTTGACTTCTGCTTGGTCGATGAGGTCTTCTAAAGCAAGAGCCCCCACGGGGGGGGGGGGTGAATAGATCATGGGAAGATCGTTCCCCGACCCAGGTTTTTGGTGGGTCATCTGCCGGATTTTCTTCGGTAGGCACCCATTGGATATTTTGCGAAATTGCGGTAAAGTTGACCAGTCTTAGCTTGGCGAGAATTTGGGTCAACACAATCTCAATTGATGGGAATCTGGATCCTCCTTTTCTGTACGTAATAGCAGACAGTAAAGTCCGTGAAGATCATCGGGGGAACTCCATCCTTGTTGATGACAAGTAGGGCACCGACTCCGGCTGCCAGCACCTCTTTGGCGTTAGTTTGGTCTATGGCGTATCGGAACATTGAACAAGAAGGACGCTTCTTGGAATGATACTGTATTGTATCCCCAGAAAATTTTCACTTTGATTCATTAATATAACACATGTTAATATGGGTCAAAATTTAGAAACATCTCTTTTAGCTCTAATAACGAACTGAAACCTTCCAGGCATTGTCTCGAACAATGCCAGGTAGTTCTTAGACTTTATTTCCCCAAGTTTTTTTAATATATCAGGATGGAATATTTGCCTTGTATACCACATTATTGCAAATACTCTCAATTTCCAATACAGACTTTGACACGTCGCCAAATAACTTCTTACCATTCGGTAAAGGCTCGATCATATTTCTTTGTGAAATAGTATTGTTTTTCTTTTGATTAACTGTTAATAGAGATATTTTCTTGGCCTATCATTAGACTAAAAAGCAATATTATGCAAGCCTGATAATTTTGCTCATAGATGGCAGAAAGGTTTGGACCTCAATTTACCAAATCTCGAGGCATACATAATATTATTCTGGATAAAATCTTAATCGTGCCGTTTAACAACATTAATACGGTGTAAAAATGAAAATCACTTTATAAAATTTATAACTCAAGAAATGAATCATTCTGTTGCAGGTTTAGATAGATAATTTTTTTTTGTCTTATCTCCCAATTTTTAAGTCATTAACAAGATTTGATCCACGATTCCCTGATAATTTGTTGCAAACTGCGTTTATCCCTGGATTCTGTCAAATTTTGAGACCAATGCGAGCAGATTTGACTAGATCAATTAATTCATTAATATTGTCACTGTTTATTTCTATGCCCCCTGAATAAAAAAAGAGTAAAATTTATTCTTTTAAAAAAATTTATCTTATAAAAATTATTAATTTTAAAGATAACGTTAAAATATTTATAAATGATAATAAACATTTAAACTTTAAATTTTAAAGATTGTGTAAATTGATTTATCAGTAAAATCAATAGCCTCTAACTCTTTACATATATATTTACAGGAAAAGAACAGTTGATAAAGAATATAAATATTCTAAAATAATAGCGAAATTTTTTATATATTATTTAGACCAGATCAACTAAAGTTTTCCTTTTGCGGCTCTTTTTAATTAAAAGTCAAATCGATTCTTGAATTAATGAGTACTTTATGTTCAAAAAAGTATACTCATCAAATTAACTTAAAGGAAACACTTGTCAAATTATTATTTAAATTTTAAAAATATTTATATTTACAATCTAGCCGTCATTGTCAGACGAATAAATGCCCTAAACTCGAGTCCAACTGCTTTCGCCGTCTCAAATGATAATGGAATCATACAAACTAGTGATCCAATCAGTGCATCCTTGAATGATGATATGAATTATGATCCAGATTCAGGCTCAAGCCATTCTGCCCAAGATTTAAACGATTTAAATAGTATTTTTGATAATGTTACATTCCTCGACACTAATATGTCTAACAATTATAGTGAAGATATGGAAAACCTGAATAACCAAAATAATAACGCCAGTGTCCATAATTTCCGAAATATTCAAGATGAAATATCCGATACCTACCCCTCGATTCTTGATACAATTCCCGTTCAGCCTATTGGTAATTTTTCTGCACACCTTAATTATCACATCACTCAAAACGCATATCACGAACCTATGCGCGACGGCTCATCTAACCACAATGTTCTCGACTTTTCGCGCCACCAACTTGTGACACCCTTATGGGGTGCCGCCGTTCTGGGCCGAATTCTCGCCGCCCGTGTCTTAACACGTATTGGGCGTGCGCGCGCTGACACACGTTCAGCGACGACGGGTAGTACGGCTTTACGCTCTGCCTGTTTTTTAACACGGCACTCTGTGGCGGCTTATCTCGTAGAAGTCTGCGGGGCCAATCCTTGGGCTGTCAATCATTTCGGCGGTACTCCCCTTATTAATTCCGTCCAATGTCCCCTTTTATGTGAATATCTTATAAGGAGATGTGTCACAGGTGGAATAGCTCGATATAAAACTAAGTGTGGGAAAGATATTGGAAATAACGAAACTGCCCTTAATTCTAAAGAAGGCGAGATAGATGCTTATTATCATGATTATTACGACATCAATATGCCACCTATTAACCTCATTATTGAATCAAAGGCTACAAATAGCCTACAAGAAAGTATTGATCAGAGTCCCGATGCGAAATCTAGAGTGATCAGAACTATTTTTGTGAATCGAGCCGATGCGCAGGGAAAAACCGCTCTGCATTACGCGGCTCAAGAGGACCATTGCGCCAGCGCAAATGTTTTGATGAATTATGGAGCCAATCCTGGTATTCGTAATAGATTTGGAAATGACGTTTGGGAAACCTGTGGCCTATATGGCTCTACTCGCGTCCTCAACGTTTTAATTCGATTTGATTCAAACATATCGAATAACGGGAAAACTAATTTCCAAGATTGCTGTAGATGTATTAGTAATAATACTCACCTAAACTTTGACAATTATAATATTCCTAGGCATAATGAAAAGGGCAATATTGAGATGGCTAACAGCTGCAATATTATAGAAAGCAATAGTGCGTTTATAAATAATTTACATTCAAATTATGCCAACGTTAATAGGGGTATAATCGAGAACAACCACACTTTTATACCTATCGTTCCTGAAGATCAAATCAGTCGAGCTTACTATCTTTTAGGAAGTACTGCAATCGACGAAAACGATGACATACCACTAGCTGCGAGTTTTTTTCATTTAGGGCTGCAACGTAGAGAAGCGATAGCGTATAAAATTTTATCGTCAACGCAAACACCTAACAAAAACCTACAAGTTTCTTCAAGCACTATAAAAAATCTGATTAGCTCTTCCCATCCTAAATTTCATTGTTTAATGCCTCTGAACATTCAGGAATTTGCTTCTTCCGCAGAGCTTGAAGCATTTATGGATGGCGGTGGCGATATGATCTTACCCCACCTTCAAACCGCGCTTTTGACCGAAAGAATTCTCGGACCCTGGCATGAAGTCACTCAAAATCGGCTGATCAGATGCGCTTTCAAGCTATTGGCCTTGGGAGAGTACCCTGCTCCATGCATAACGCTCTGTATTTATGCCTTACAGTCTTGTTTAGCCACCTGTTATGATTATTATTCTTATAGTAAGGATATCACAAGTAATAATACGGGTTTGTTAAGAGATTACTCACCTATAATTGGCACACATTCTCTCTTTGACGACCACACTTGCTGGCTGATTACTACCTTGGTCAAGGCGGTGTCAGAATATGAGAACAAGTACAGAGTGGGATATTTTCATCTCAATTCTCCCCTTTCCCCTACTCACACAACAAATCGAGCTTCTAGAATTAGTTCTCAAACTTTGCTGACTTTGATTTCTATTCTATTTCGATCCGTGATTTCATCCATGGTGTCAGCATTCACAGGAACTGACTCATACCTATGTACATTAATGGCATCTTCATCTCGCACCCCTTACACATCCTACATCCCTACCTTTCAAGGGCCAGTATGCCCTAGCCACCGGGTCAATTTTAATTCCATACTTTCCTCATCCCTCTTCTTACTCTACCTAACATTTCTTCGCGTTGAACCTGAATTCCGCTCCTCACTCTCCTTTATTCTCCAAGGTGGTTTACCCGTTTTTCTGCCGCCCGACGCCTCTACCTTGGTTCACCATTTGGCGGACTTTTTAACTCCCCTTCGATGGGAACCGGAACCAAACTCCTTTAGGCGAGACCACCTCCATTCTTTCGTAGACTGGCTATTAACCGCTTGGCGCCCGCTTGCGGCCCATCTCCATACGACTGACTACAAGGGGGCTACCTTTATTCATCGCTTACTATCTCCTATATTTGTAAATTTTTCAATAGATTCCATAGATTACTGTAAATCGCCATATACTATCTCTTTATTAAAGATGATGATCGTAAACTTCGGTGTTCACCTAGACACTCCTATTAGCCTTAATTGGCGATTACCACATAATGTGTCATCTCAATCACCGAAATCGGATACTCAAATATTGAATGGCGCAAAGACTGGTCAAATCACTCGCATATGCAATATTATACCGTTTGAGACTATTGAGACTGGGACGGTCCCTCCGCTCACATGTTTGGCTGCACGGGCCATTAATTTATCCAATAATTTTAGTAGCATTACTTCTTTACTTCCCTTGGGAGTGGCAGAACTTATACATATACATAACTTGGTTCCCCTAACTTGAAATTAGGGGAGAGGGGTGTTATAATCAACTATTGAAATATCTATTTGGCCGACGTAATATATTCTAGTCTCAACTTAAAATTTTTCCAGAGTATTTCTCTAATAATATTTAAATATTTTGAATTACTAGTAAATCAAACAATCAATGTTTTTATTATCACCATTGGGTTGTATTGTAAAAACATAATTATAACTTTTTATGATTTTTTTAAAATTCAAACTCCGTTAATTAGGTTCATGTCGCATGGAGATAAGTTATTTTTGTTAAATTAGTGTCTAACATTTTTAATATTATCTGCAAAGCTCAAATTCTATATTGTCACTATAATGATCTTATACCTATTTCTATGCGAAAAATATTCAGATATTATATTAAGATCTTTAAATTATAATATATGTTATCTATATGTTTTTAAAAATAAAATTTTATATTATTTATATAAATAAAGGATACATATTTACACGAATAAATTTTATACATAAAATTATAGTAATTATTATTTATTTTTTTAATCTTACATGTTTATTTCATAAATATATGCGTTATATTTATTGTATCTCTCGATTTGTAATTGACAGATATGGACATCTTTGTTTTAAGATTTGTTATTACTTGAGATCATATATATTATTGTGAATTATACGGAAATAAAATTATAGATATGAAATATTGGTTTGGAGTTTTTAAACAATATACATATATAATATTGGTGCCGTTTTAACCACGGATGAGACAATTGGGAAGAATTTGGCGTAATATAAATATAGAAATCTACGATCATGGAAAATTAAAAAAAAAGAGAATATTTAAATACAAAGGTTTCAAAAAAATTTATATATGTAACATATAAAATTAAAAATAAAAAAGTAGAAAAAAATTGGAATATGTTTTGAAAAGAGAAATAATGTATTAATTTAAATAACTATTAATAGAATTAAATTAGATGAATTAAAAATTAGAAATTTATAAATTAATTGATTTATTTTTAGGAATTGAAAATTATATGAATTTAAAAATGATGGAAAATGAAAGGAGTTTATATTGATTAAGATGTAAAAATAATATGTTAAAATTAAATTATTTTCAGACATGAAGCATAAATATAAGATTGAGGTTAAGCATAGGGGTGGGACCAATACCAATATAATATTGGTTTACAATACCAATATAAACCAATATATATAAATATTGGTATTGCTTTTACAACCAATACCAATTACCTAAATATATTGGTTTTGATATATTGTTTAAATACAATTTTAACCAATACCAATATTAAAAATAACATAATTATTTGGGTTTATCGTGAATAATTATATCGTGGTATTTTTTTTACTTTCATTGCAAAAACTGATTACATCTGTTATTTCTTCCAAATACTACTGTGATATCAATATTTCTGTTATTTATAATTATAGTTTATTTTTATTATGGAAGTAAATTTTTTACATGATATCTATCAATTTTATTTATTTATTTAGGATATTATAATAAATGAAGACCAAATAGAGTTAATAAATATAGATGCTGTTGGTACTAATAATAATAGCGATAATGAACAAGAAGAATTATCAATATCTAATAAAAGACGAAATTCAGCAAAAATCTGGGAATTTTATACTACTTGTGATAATAAAAAAAGGCAATTTGTAATAAATGTAAAAAAAAATATCACTTCCTAATTTTGGAACCTCAGGATTATGGACACATCTTAAATCCATCCACCCAACATTATATAAGAAATGTGAGCAAATAAATATTGGCAGTAAAAAAATTAAGACAATAAAATCATTTTTACTTAATAATATAAATAATAAAGCTAATTTAATTATAAACTTTTTCATTCAAAATAATTTAGCCTTTTCAATAGTTGAGGATATCACTTTTAAAAATTTAATAGCATACTAACATTAGTTTCTAGAAAAACGCTAAAAATAGAAATTATGAAACATTATCATAGTTCTTTTATCAATTTAAAATCTGTACTTTCTAACATTACATCTAAATTTTCCTTAACAATGGACATTTGGTCCTCTCCAAATAAAATACCCTTTATGGGCATAACAATTCATTATATTGATAATGATTTTAAATTAAATAATCATTTATTAGATTTTATTCCTTTTAAATCAGCACATAATTCTATTAATATTTTTAATTCTGTATTAAAAGTAAAATTTGAAATTTTTTTTGCATTACATCAGACAATGCAAGTAATATTTAGCATTTCTAAAAATTTTAAAACAAAAAGATAATTTTGATAATGTGTGCAAATGCTTTTGCCATATTATACATTTGGCTGTCATGGCTGCATTGGAACCCTTAAATACAACTTTAAAAAAAATAAGAAATTTTTAAAAAATTTTTAAACTTTCTAATAAACTCGAAAAAATATATCTTGAAAAAAATCCACACTTAAAATTTCCTCACCCAATTTTGGATATACCAAGTACCAACACGTTGGAATTCAACATACCAAATGCTTGAAAGAACAATATTGCTCAAACCCTATTTGACAACATATACCAATCATTTACAAAATACCAATCAAGAAAATTATATTAGTGCCTTAGCCTGGAATAATATAGAAATATTCCGAGAATTTCTGGAACCATTTAATTTTGCTACAGAGATGGCCTCATGTGCTAATACTCCAACAATTATTCCTTTATATTCCAGTATTTTTGAGCATGTGGAGAGTTATAATAATAATCCTAATGCTATTTTAAAGACAGCTTCTTTAGCTGCCTTAACAAAACTTAATAAATACTATAATTTTATTATTTCAACAATGATTGACCCAAGATTTAAACTATCAAGTCATTTATTAAAGCATAATAATATGGAAACTCTTATTGGATATCTTACTAATGAATACAATATTTATAAAATAAATAATAACAATTCAGCGGAACTTACAAATGAAGCACAAAATAACAAAAAATTGTCCTTTTATGACAAAATTTATCAGGTGAAACATCATAATAATAACAACTTAGAAATAAGTAAATACGTAGATGAAGCCACAATTTCCAATGATACAAATCCATTAGATTGGTGGAAATTAAATAAAAATAGATATCCAGTATTATCAAATATTGCCAGAGATTATCTAGCAATTCAGGCCACCTCATCTAGCTCTGAAAGGGCTTTTTCAGAAGGACGGTGTTATAACAGACCAACGTTGTTCACTAGATGAGCATACTATACAACCTTGCCTGTGCCTAAAAAGTTGGATGCGCATGCAAGATTCTTCTTAAATACATAAAATTATTTCCTCTTATATTAAAATTATATCATTCTTTTGCATTATATTTTGTATAAATGGACAGTTATGTTACATTTTTAGTTTACTTATTTTGCTATGTTCTTTGTGATAAATAAAATGGTTCAAAATCAATACGTTTATTATTGTTGATACAAAAAATACATGATTAAATCAAAATTTTTTATATTCACATCACCTAATAAATTCCTAGTTTAAAAAAAGAATTTGAATTCAGTAAAATTTTGAGAGTTGGTTCTTAGCCCGAATTTTATGGTATCATGATTTTTTTCCCCATGTTTATCTAAAATTAGAAATTAAGGGTTTTATAATCACTATTTCTATTCTTTTAATTAATAATTTGAATATAAACCAATAGTTACCAATATAAACCAATAGCAATACCAATACAAGAAATAGAAAATATTGTTTAAACCAATACCAATACAATATTTTGTTAATATTGGGTTTTTACTATTGGTTCCCAGCCCTAGTTAAGCATATACAAAGAATGATTGAAAGTTAAGAAGTTGCGGGTTAATATTTTTGATATTTATAAGTTAAAATTTTAGATGAGTAATATTTTATATATAGTAATAGTTTATATAGTTGAAAGAATTAAATTTTAAATGTATGAATTTATAAAAGTAAAGTTAATGTTGAACAAAGAAAGAGAGGGATGAAATTCAATAAAGTGTGTTTATTTAAAAAAAAATTTATAAGTTGTTTTAAAATTTATAGTTAGATTTTGGGCAAATAAAAGATGAGATAGTAGAAAGTAACGTATGGGTTTGAAAGGTTTTCAATTGTCTTAATTGAGAAAATTAATATAAATAGTTAAAAGTAAAACGTGGGTTTAAAATAGTTTTTTTAGGTTTATTTTAGAATTTGGTGATATAAAAATAGAGGAACCATTATATATTAGTGTGATTTCGGTTTATTTTAGAAATTAATGGTATATAAATGGAGTAATCATTATATATTATTGTGATAAAAGTCTACGTTTGAATTTTTTTAGGAACATTGGATACGGTTGGAGTAATAATAATTTTTGTATCATAGGCAAGGTGGGGGCAATAATAAGCTTTGTATTATATGTTTTTATTTTAACTTTTAAACCCAGTGTTTTGATGTTTTGCCTTAAGATTCATTGAATGACATAGGTATGTCATAGGAAATTAAGACCTCATGTTATGCAGGGCAGAAAAGATTGCATACGTGATAATACCGTATTTTCATTCCTTAACTTAAAACCCTATTTTTTTAGTTATCCCTTTAAAACCCGTGATGATCCCGGATAGTTCTGATCCCTTTAAAAATTACGATATATATATTAATACAATACATTGGGAATATAATCTAAAATGTGTTGCATTTTTTGGGAATATATCAACCATAGTTAATCCTTTAAACATAGTTATTCAGCTAATAATGCATCATAAGACACTTTAATTCGATAAAAATTTAACAAATATTTTTCTATCTTTATCTGAAAAAGGTTGGGAAGGCTTTTGTGGAAATAATATTTGCAGATTGGTAAGTGCTGCATGTGCATGATGAATTAAAAACCATTCATTTATTTGGGTTATTAAGTGAGGGACATTTGTTTTATAATACTATTCTACTGATCCTATATTAATGTTTTAAAGAATGAGCTTGCCTTGCTGCATGTCGACGGAGACAAATATTAAACTATAGTTCTGCTTTTGCCTCAACAATAACATATAAAATATGAAATTCTTCATCAAAATTCTCTAATTTCCTTGAGAAATGCTCTCCACTATTCTATCTTAATCAAGTAAATGTGTTTTTGAAAAGTTTTACTTAAAATAGTTGTATAATTAAATAATACATTCTAATGAGAAGAAAAATTTGTAATAAGCATTGAATCCAATAATTTTCTTGCTTCTGAGGAAATATTTCTTTCAGGCTTTGTGATATTTCAGTAATAGCAAGGCTCTTCTAACTCCATAAAAGCTGTTACTGCTTGATGATCTTTCTCCCTGTTGGACAAAGAGTTTCAGAAATAATTATTATTTGACTAGAAATTTAAAAATGATAGATACGTCATACGTCATAATAAGCGCAATTACCCTTTATCGCTATATGAAACAGCAGAGCTACGCTTGGACTATCTCATCCCATCTAATTGGGTTAAGAAATTTGGGGGTAACCT